CGGTGGGTGTTATTCTCAGTATCTGTCCTGTTCTCTGGGTGTAATTCTCGGTATCTGTCCTGTATGCTGGGTGTAATTCTCGGTATCTGTCCCGTACGCAGAGGGTGTAATTCTCGGTATCTGTCCTGTACACTGGGTGTAATTCTCGGTATATGTCCTGTAGGCAGAGGGTGTAATTCTCGGTATCTGTCCTGTACGCAGAGGGTGTAATTCTCGGTATCTGTCCTGTACGCAGAGGGTGTAATTCTCGGTATCTGTCCTGTATGCAAAGGGTGTAATTCTCGGTATCTGTCCTATACACAGAGGGTGTAATTCTCGGTATCTGTCCTGCACGCTGGGTGTAATTCTCAGTATCTGTCCTGTACTCTGGGTGTAATTCTCGGTATCTGTCCTGTATGCTGGGTGTAATTCTCGGTATCTGTCCCGTACGCAGAGGGTGTAATTCTCGGTATCTGTCCTGTACACTGGGTGTAATTCTCGGTATATGTCCTGTACGCAGAGGGTGTAATTCTCGGTATATGTCCTGTGTCCCGTACGCGGTGGGTGTAATTCTCGGTATCTGTCCTGTACTCTGGGTGTAATTCTCGGTATCTGTCCTGTATGCTGGGTGTAATTATCGGTATCTGTCCCGTACGCAGAGGGTGTAATTCTCGGTATCTGTCCTGCACACTGGGTGTAATTCTCGGTATCTGTCCTGTACTCTGGGTGTAATTCTTGGTATCTGTCCTGTATGCTGGGTGTAATTATCGGTATATGTCCTGTACGCAGAGGGTGTAATTCTCGGTATCTGTCCTGTACGCAGAGGGTGTAATTCTCTGTATCTGTCCTGTATTCTGGGTGTAATTCTCGGTATCTGTCCTGTATGCTGGGTGTAATTATCGGTATCTGTCCCGTACGCAGAGGGTGCAATTCTCGGTATCTGTCCTGTATTCTGGGTGTAATTCTCGGTATCTGTCCTGTATGCTGGGTGTAATTATCGGTATCTGTCCCGTACGCAGAGGGTGTAATTCTCGGTATCTGTCCTGCACACAGTGTTTGTCGGTTGGTTACGATCTCCAGACACAGGAAGTCAGTTGGGTAATTTCAGAAGTAATAGAAGTTTATTTCGAGGTTTCTCCGGACACGAAGGAGGAAACCGCCTGACTGCAGAATGCGTCTCCTCGCTCTTGCAGTAGGGCCCCCGGTCCCGGGGCCCCGGCTCTTCATCTCCAGGCACTTCTCTCTCTCTCTGTTGTGGGACAATTTGATTTTTAGAGTTTGAGGTGATTGGAGATCGTCAGTTGTCTATCTGGAACCTAAAACCTTCTAAAATAAAAGGAAAAATAC